AATACACTACTTAGCGACAAGGACAAAGGGATGTATTTGTAGTGAGAACAGCATTGACAGCGGCAATGGTTGTCCCCTCCTCCATGTTTAAAGATATGACCCGCCCAACTCGGAAACTCTGGTATCAAAATTATTTCAGAATTTCCCAGAAGTAAATACGACTTGAGAGGCGTTCACGTGGAGATGGAGATGCAGCAGGACAATGGCACCAAAAACAATGGTTGACCTTCAAGAGACTGAAAGAGCAGATCTAAGCACATCAGAATTATTATTTTTTTAATCAACTTTGGCCACACTTGAGTATGAAATTGAGTTTTGTATGAACAGGGAGCTATTTAGCCTCGAACCAGACGGTGACTGAAATCAAGGATGTGTGCAGTGGGTTGGAAGCCTCTAAACCTGCCAGGAAACTTGTTGAGCAAGAGCTGGTGGACAACACTGGGTGTCATAATAAGTTCAATGTGTAGGTATATGCCAGCCTCAGACAGTTGTGGATAAATGTTTAAAAATGTGAAAAGTACATCCTTTTTTCTTGTTTTTGACCTGTGTGAAAGAGGAAATGGGAAATGGACAGCTCATTGAGGTAGCAAACAGGATGCAGAATCTTAATTTGAAATTTGAATTTAACAAAGTAGTATTAAAATGGAAATGGAATGCAATTTAAATTTATGTTTGAAATGCCAGCTGTAGAAATCTGTATTTAATTTACAGACGTTTTGAAGTTTGGGGTCGGTAAGGTTTTTTTCAAAATGCATTTGAAGTTTCTTATGCTCATCAAAGATGCATTTATTTTATCAAAAATGTGATGTCAAAGCTGAATTTTCAGCATCATTACTCCAGTCTCCAGTGTCACATGATCCTTCAGAAATCATTCTAACATGCTGATTTGCTGCTCAAGAAATGTTTCTTCTTATTAGTTGTGCTGCTTCATATTTTTTTGCGGAAATGTCAAGTTCAAAAGAACAGCATTTATTTGAAATATAAATCGTTTGTAACAATGTAAATGTCTTTACTTTCCCTTTTTATCAATTTGATGCAGAATAAAAGTATTAATTTATTTAAAAATTTACTGACCACAAGCTTTTCAATGGTATTGTAGCCTATGCATATATGTAACATTTAAAATGTTGCCCAGCATCTGCTGACAACTAATTTGGCCTTGATTATACTGTAGAATTATCAAAGTGGTAGAATTCATCCCACATAAATCAAAGTCAGGGAAAGCAATGTACAAGAAAAGGACTATTAAAGGTCCCATATTTTACACCTTTCTGGAGTTTTATTTTAGGTTTTGATGTCCTTAAGAATATATATTTGCGGTATAAGTACCAAAAACCATCTCAATATATTTTTTACAGCCCCTTTCTCAGGAGCTCTGCTGAGAACAGGTCGATTTTGACCTGTCTAATTAATATTCATGAGCCTCTCTTCTGACTGTTTTGAAACTTATATTGTAGTTACATAGCACCTAGACCTCAGTTATCATGAAAAAAGCCAGGAAATTTCAGTTTTGACAAAATGGGACCTTTAAGAGGGAGAAGCAAAAAATGCTAAGAAAACCACACTATGATATTGCACAGATATATTAAAGGGATAGTTCCACCAATTTTTTAAAATTCTGTCATTAATTACTCACCCTCATGTTGATCCATACCCCTAAGACCTTCTCTCATCGTCAGAACACAAAATAAGATATTTTTGATGAAGTCCGAGAGCTCTCAGACCCTCCATAGACAGCAATGCAACTGAAATGTTCCCAGGTCTAGAAACGTAGCAAGGACATGGGTAAAACAGTGTTCTGAAGATGAACGAAGGTCTTATGGGTTTGGATCAACATGACAGTGAGTAATCAATGATAGAATTTTAATTTTTGGGTGAACTATCCCTTTAAGGGCTATAATACAATAAAATGATCAATCTTATACCGCCTAAGATCAAACTCTGCACAGCCCTTTGAACCGTGGCCTGCTCATACAGTGCCAGCCCTCACTATTTGTCTTCTGAATGTTGAATGACTTGCGCTGTGAGTGCACACGGACACGCCCACCGTCTGCCGTGCGTACGCATGCGCGCTGAGCTGCGTGCCATTTCCTGGATTCCTTGACAGGCCCAAATCAGGGAGCGAGAAGAGAAGAGAGTAGCCGGAGTGAATTCGTGTCGACTGTCCAGAGTCCGCGAATTCAGGTCCGTCCACCAGGTGAACACCCGAGAGCCAACATCCTTGCGAACATTTCTTCAAGAAGCGGAGCATCGGTTCAGGTAAATGAGGCCCGTGTCATGCCTTTTTCCGACAGCAGGGAGCGGACTGAGCCGGCATCTTGAGCAAGGCCTTCCTTATCCTCAAATCTAACCGACCACGAACAGTTCTGTAAATTCACTCGCGTTATAACAGTGTTCGCGGTTGTATAAGGTACTACAGACCTTTATCTTTAAACCCGGATTCACTTTTCCGGCTTTCTGCGTAATTTTTACTGGCATGTAATCTGTTTTTCGCGTTAGCTGTCGGCTAATGTAGCAGGCAGGCAGCTCGCGAACAGAAGCCTATGGCATCAGATATTGATGATCTGCCTCACCCACGCCCTGAAACCGGGAACTGGCAGCCGTCATCTGGTTTTGCCGGTTGAACAAGTAATTTTTGCTTTAGTATATGATTACGGACAAAAAACATTGCAGATTTAGTTGTGGACATAACCCTGATGTATGTGATTTAGACCTGGCTTGCCAGTTTGTCAGTGCTGGTTTTCATCGTTTCTGACACTAATTAAGCTTTTTATCAACTAACCCCAGAGTGCATTATTATCCACGACTGCGAGTTTGATACTTTAAAAAAAAAAATTAAACTCAAAATAAGCATGTAACTAATGTAAATTAACATGCGTTTCAAACTAAATTTGTTAAGTTAGTTCCTATACGTGTTCTCTATAAGTAAAATAGTTCAAAAAGAAGCCAAAACATCGAGCTTTGCTTGTCACCAATCAAAACCGTACTGGATCAGCCTGTATGTGTGGGTCGGTCCTCCCAGTGTTTGTAATCTCTCCTGCACAATCACACTAGTGAGAGAGGCCCTGCATGTATTTGTCTTGGCAACTGGGGAAATTATAGTGTTGTTGTACTAAATTCCTCATTTTTAAGTTGCTTTGGATAAACCATCTGCTAATGAATAAATGTACATATCGAAACTGTTGAACACAGCTCGACCAATCAGTATAATCAAAGTTCTAACATTACTGGCACTTAAATCAAACATAATTGCGTTTCTTTTCAGGCAGAGGTGCGCATTATTTGAAGACAATGTCACTCCACCAGTTTTTGTTGGAACCCATCACATGCCATGCGTGGAACCGGGACAGGACCCGTAAGAAAGATTTTCATTGTCATTTATTCATCGATGTTGTCTGTGTCCATGCTTTTATTATTTCTGAACCAATGCCTCATCTCATGCATTGTTTTTCAATTACAGAAATTGCTATCAGTCCAAACAACCATGAAGTCCATATATACAAGAAAAGTGGGAATCAGTGGGTGAAAGCTCACGAATTAAAAGAACACAATGGGCACATCACAGGTAAAAGCTCCCTGTAAACTGAATTTCTCAGATGAATGTGACATTTTTAAATTCCTCACAAACATTGTTGAAATGACCAGTTGACCGTTGTTTTTGTTGTTGTTTTCCAGGCATTGATTGGGCTCCTAAAAGTGATCGTATTGTGACCTGTGGAGCTGACCGTAATGCTTATGTATGGAGTCAAAAGGACGGCGTGTGGAAACCCACCCTTGTTATTCTCAGGATCAACCGTGCTGCCACGTTTGTGAAATGGTCTCCGCTGGAGAACAAGTTTGCAGTGGGGAGGGGAGCACGACTCATATCCGTTTGCTACTTTGAGTCTGAAAATGATTGGTAGGTCACAGCTGATATGTTGGGCTACATTGATTGATTGATTTTTCAGGTCCTGTGACTGTGTGTGTGTGTATATATATATATATTATTTTTTTTATTTTATTTTTTTAGGTGGGTTAGTAAACACATCAAGAAGCCCATCCGTTCAACTGTCCTCAGTTTAGACTGGCATCCAAATAATGTGCTTCTGGCAGCTGGGTCATGTGACTTCAAATGCAGGTGAGTCTGCATATTGAAGCTTGTTAACCCTCAACGCAAATGTCAAAAATAAACTTTTTGTTAGTGCTCCGAATCATATTTGCATGTTTGTTTCTTAGGGTATTCTCTGCGTACATCAAGGAGGTGGATGAGAAACCAGCTCCAACCCCATGGGGGTCCAAAATGCCCTTTGGGCAGGTGATGTCAGAGTTTGGCGGGGCAGGAAGTGGAGGATGGGTTCACAGCGTCTGTTTCTCAGCCAGTGGGAACAGACTGGCTTGGGTCAGCCATGACAGCACCGTCACTGTAGTGGACCCCACAATAAGCTCAACGTGAGTATTGGAAATGGTTGGTGTGTTTAGAAAAAAACATACTGCTCACACTGTGACACGGCATCCATCACATGATCCTTTCCACTGCCCAGTGATGAAACCTGAGGAGCATGCACATTTTGAGGGTCTTAAACTGAACAGAATAAATAAGGATATGTACTGATCAAAAGTTTGGGGTTGTATTTTTTAAAAGAAATTAATACATCTATTCAGCAAGGATGCATTAAATTAATCAAAAACGACAGTAAAGACATTTACAATGTTGCAAAAGATTTCTATTTCAAATAAATGGTGTTCTTTTGAACTTTCTATTCATCAAAAAATCCTGGTTTCCACAAATACATTAAGCAGCACAAAATAAGAAATGTTACTTAACCTGCAAATCAGTATATTAGAATGATTTCTGAAGGATCATGCGGCACTGAAGAGTGGAGTAATGATGCTGAAAATTCAGCTTTGCCATCAGAAGAATAAATTATTTTAAAACATTAGTAGTTTCACAGTATTACTGTGTTTAGTCTGGTTTTTTTTTACTGTATTGATCAAATAAACGCAGCCTTTGTGAGCATAACAGACTTACAAAAATATTTAGTCTTACTGACCCCTACCTTTGCATATAAATTATCATCATTTCTATAAAAATTGTGCACAACCATTTATAACTTTTCTTTTTAACTTTGTAGCCAAGTGTCTATATATGAAGGAGACAAAAGAGATTGTCGCAAATTCTGCACTACAGGAATTGACGGAGCAATGACCATATGGGATTTCAAGGTTTGTATTTAATATTTTCGAAATTACACCAAACTTTTCATGCCAGTTTAAATTGCTTCTGTTTTATCCCTTGGTTAACTAGAACTATGACCATGTTTACTCTTTCCACAGACCTTAGAGTCTTCAATCCAAGGCCTGCGGATCATGTAAAACTTACACAAACTAGCATGACACAGCACAAGCAATGCAGCTCGAAGACTAACAAGGAGATTTCCGATAACACTTCTGAAGGTTTTTAAGTAAAAAAAAAAAAAAAAAGAACTGAGCAGGGGGGTG